ACATGACAGGGGCATGGGCACACGGCTTTGTGTGTTCCTCTCCTTTCTAGATACTTTGAGTATTTACCTGTTGTTTTGAGGGATATGTGGGAAAACTTGTTAAAAAATGCATGTGGGCAGTTTCTTCAGTGCAGACACTGAGCAGTCAGTCTTGTGGCTGCAGCCTGTGAGCCAGGCGTATGCTGACTTCTTCCCAGAGCGTCCATCCTGTGGCAGGTGGATGATGAGACAGAGGAGCTTTCTTGCCTGGTGGGACTTCCCTTTGACTGGGCACTGCTGACAGTAGCTCATTTTCTGTCCTGGGGCGTGGCTGGGCACCAACAGGCACCCTGATGATGGTCGGAGTTGTCCCTGGTCTGCAAGCACACCCTCCAGCCCGCCAGCATCATTTCTCAGATGGCTCCAGTGTCCTGTAATGTCAGAGGCAGCTTTGTTTCTCCCTCAGCATTTGTCACCTTTTCCTTTAGGTACATCTTGCAATGTGTGTGCTGTGAGTTCCCACCACTCTACTTTAGTGCCTCCCCCCCACCTGCAGTTTTAAAATAGCATGTTGTCTAGCTGCCAGTGTTCGATAGTGCTCTGGAGTCCCTGTCTTTCAGGATGGTGAAATCAGGACTTGAGAGGATTTGAGGCTTAGCTGGCTTCACAGCTCAGATGCCATGGGCCCTGTGGGATGCACCATGGCTCTGGCCACGCTTCCTAGCAGACGTGGGGCAGACGTGGGGCTGACGTGGGGCTGACGTGCTCTTTCTCAGACCTCCACCAGGGTCAGACTTTCTTTCCTCAGTGCTTTCTGGCACATAATGATCGGCAAATGGTTCCTGAATAAGCATGGCCAGGAGCAGGGAGTTCGCCTGGCCCAGGGATTGAGGGATCTAGCTGGGAGCGCTAGGTAACCTGTCTGGGTGCTGACTGGTCCAGATGCTGGCTGGTTCGTGTTTTTTTCATGGGGGAGAAAGCACTTTCTTCTTCAAAGGCAGAATCCTATAATATAATACAAAAAATTCTCTAACTTAGCTCTCATAATGTCAGTTTAGTGCCATGTACTTAAACGCGTCACTTTATAATACAGATCCCTCTGTTTCTGTTTTCAACATCTTCTATCCTACTGTGTGGGCTCTGGATAACAGTTGAATTATTTGAAAGTGAACTCTTAGTATTTGTCCTTAAAACTTACAAAAATTAACTTTCACATAATATAAGACAAAATAAGCATTTGGGGTCATTTTGAAAGTACATTTTTCAGCTGGGCTCGGTGGCTCAGCCTGTAATCCCGCGCCTTTGGGAGGCTGAGGTGAGTGGATTGCCTGAGCCCGCGGGTTCGAGACCCGCCTGGGCAGGCGAGACCTCATCTCTACCATAAATCAAAAAATTAGCTGGGCGTGGCAGCACGTGCCTGTAATTCCGGCTACTCGGAAGAAAGAAAGTATAATTTTTCGTGAGGCTTTAAAGTTATGGACTGTTTATGACAAGTGAGTTTTCCCTAGTGGGTTTTGTTTTTGTTTTTTTTGGTTTTTTTTAGCTTTTATTATTATTTTTTTTTTGAGTTGGAGTCTCGCTCTGTCGCCCAGACTAGAGCGCAGTGGCCGCTTCCGGCCACCGCAGCCTCGACCTGCTGGGCTCCGGCAATCCTTCCGCCTCAGTCTTACAAGTAGCCGGAATTACAGGCATATGCTACCACGCCCAGCTGCTTTTTTTATTTATTGTAGAGATGAGGTCTCGCTGCCCAGGCAGGTCTTGAACCCGTGGGCTCAGGCAATCCACTCACCGCAGCCTCCCAAAGGCATGGGATACAGGCTAAGCTACCGAACCTGGCTTCCCTAGTGTTTTTAAAGTGGAACTACCTGTGGTGATTCAGGAGAGATGATGGTCTCATAGTCTAGCAGGGTTCATTTAGTGTTTTTATAAAGATCACTGAACTTGAAGTCAGGTGTCGGCTACACCACTGATCTTGGCTGGGTGACCTTGGGTGAGCCATTGACCTTCAGATGCTGTTTTCTCTTTTGTAAAATGGAGACAATGTCTTTCATGGTTATTGTAGTAATGAAAATGATATAAAATACTTAGACATATCTCACATAAAACCTAGCATAATGCAGGAGTTCTGTTATTCTTAGCTGTATCTGTCTCCAAAATAAGAATATCAAGTACATCTTAATTAAGCTAGTTTTCTTTGATAACCTTTAATAAGAATGGTTGCACTATAATTACAGTTCGGGTTCCTGGTCCTCTTTAGAAAAACAAAATACAGAGAATGGCAAGCCTTGTTAACCATGAGAACTATGGCTAGAGTTAAGAAGAACCTTCTCATGTCAGGAATTTTTCCATAAGGAAGCCTGTTAACTGTGTGTTTTCAAAGATGTGGATTTGCAGTGGAGGAAAAGGAACATGCAGGTGTGAGAGAAAATTGTGCCTGTTCTGACATTTCATTTGTTGCCATCATGTCATCTACTTTATGATAGTCCTCAAAGGGTTTTGTTTTTATTGTGTTTTATTTTGGGGGTGAGGGAAGCAGCTTTGTGGAGATGTAATTCACATCCCAAGCAATTCACTCACTTAAGATGTACAGTCCGGTAGCTTCCAGCACATTGACAGGGTTGTGCAGTCTGCACAGCAACTTTAGAACACCCTCACACCCCAAAAAGAACGTGTGCCCTTTGGCTGTTACTGCCCACCTTCCCGTTTCCCCAGCTCTGCCACCTCGAGTTATCTTAGTCCATTTGTGCTGCTGTGAAACAGTACCTGAGGCTGGGTACATTATAAAGAACAGAAATCTCTAGTGACTGGAAAGTCTAGCAACCAGGAGCCAGGGCTAGTGTCTGATACCTTCCTGCTGTGTCCTCACAGGGCAGAGAGAGAGAGAGAGAGAGAGAGAGAGAGAACCACCCCTCACAAGCCCTTTGCATAGCATTCCTCAGCTCACCTGGCAGACCCTCCTGACCTAGACGCCTCCCCTTGGACCCACCTCCCAACACTGTTGCATTGCGGATGGAGTTTTCACTTGAGTTTTGGAGGGATTGAAACCTTTAAGGTAGCTTAGGCAGCCACTCTTCTATCTGGATTTGCCCTTGACCTTCCATTTAAGTGGAGTCTGCTGTGACTGGCTCTTTCCCTTGGCGAGTGTTCAAGGCTCATGCTGGTGTAGCCTGTACTGGTCCTCATTCCTTCTTGTTGCTCAGTAACATTCCGTCGTCCATATAGTACCGATTTTATTCAACTGTTCATTGGCTGATGGACATGTGGGTGCTTCCACTTTTGTCTGTTGTGACTAATGCTGCTGTGGACATTTGCAAACAGGTTTTCACGTGGACATGTGTTTTCCTTTCTCTTGGTGTGTACCTAGGAGTGGATTGCTGGGGCCATGTGGAAACTTTATGTTGTTTAACCTTTTTAGCAACTGCCAACTTGTTTTACAAAGTGGCTGCACCATTTCATATTCCTGCCAACAAGGTCTGAGGGTTCCAGTTTCTTCATGTCCTCCTAATGCTTGCTGGTGTCTGTCTTTAGATCCCGCCATCCTAGCAGGAGCCAAGTGGTTTGATTTGCATTTCCCTGATGACTAATGTTGAGTCTCTTTTCATGTACTGAATTCATGGCCATTTGCATATCTTCTTAGGTGAAATACCAATTCAGATCCTTTGCCCATTTTTAATTGGGTTAGCAGTAGTTTTATTGAGTTATAAGAGTTTTTTGTATCTACTAGATACAAGTTCCTTCTGAAGATATGATTCCCAGAGGTTTCTGTGCCTTTGGTGCCTGGATCTAGTTGTGATAACCATTCTGACTGCATGCCTTCTCTGGATTGAGCTCTGCAGTGGGAACTCTCTATGGATTATTTCTTTTGATCCTCATGATAACTCAAAGGTATAGATAATATTGTCCTCAGTTTACATGTGCAAACACTGGGGTGCAGGGGACTTAAAGTGCTGGTCCAGTGTCAAACACTTAGCAGTGACTGCCTGAGGTCCGAGTCAGAGCTGGGCCTCACTGAATACCCAGCCTCGACTCTGCCTAAGACTTGGTTGACATGGTGCTAACTGCACACACCTCTGGGGCTTGGAGCTCCCTGGCTTCTGGCATGCATGTGCACCTACCTGTTCATGTTCAGCGTTTGGGCTGTGCCCAACCTCCAGGCATCCACTTTGCCCTCTTCTCTGTTTGAGTCTTGGGTCCTGCTCCACTGAGTTCCTCATTGTGTGTCCTGCATGGTTAATCTCCTGCATCTTGGTTTAGGGGTTTAGAGGTTATTCTCTGTTTATTATATGGGTAGACACGGTAGAAACACGTCTGTCATGGAGGGCCTTGGCCTAGCAATAGCAGGGTTGAATTGGAAAACTTTGGGGAATTACAGAGGATTATTTTGGCTTTTATTTAAGAAGAAATTTCTAAGTAGCTTAAAGCTATCCCTCAGTGGAACCAGCTGGGTGGTGAAGAACTTTCCAAACTGTATGTATGCAAGCCCTTCTCCCAGTATGTTGGGAGGGACATTTCTACACAACGTGGGGCTGGACCTGGAGGCCCCTTCTACACTGGAGAAGGGCTTGCCTCTGCCCCAGCCCACGCAGCACTTCTCATGTGATCTGGCTTCAAAGGCTGAATGAACATAGTGTTAACCTCTTGGAAAGTAACGCAGGAAATCTGTCTTTATCCTTCAGAATTTAATTTCCTCTGAAACGCACTTCTGACGACTCAGAGTGGTGATAAAATGGGAAGGACTCTGACTCAGGATATTGGGTTCTGGGCCAGCTAGATCAGTATTCAAGTCTCAGTTCTGTGCTGTCCTTACTGTGTGACCTTGGGCTAGTTTCTTTACCGTTTTATGCCTCAGTTTCCTCATCTGGAAATGAGGCCAGTAAGAGCCTCTCCTTTGAACGACTGTTAAGATTCTGTAATTCTTGTCTGACACATGCAAGTGTTTATTAAATTTTTATTTGAAGGGAGAAGGATTAGGGATGTGGATGGTTGTTACAAAATGTAACCTAATTTTAAAATTTTTTCAGAGGAAACACAAGAATAGAAGAGGCTTGTGAAATGTATACCCGAGCTGCAAATATGTTCAAGATGGCTAAAAATTGGAGTGGTATGTACAAAGTTTTTGTTTGTTTGCTTTTCAGACAAATACTTTAAAATTAGTTTGAAAGAGGAAATAACTGTTGGTATTTCATTTATTTATTTGTTTATTTATTCATTTATTTAGAGTCGGAGTCTCTGTTACCTAGGCTGGAATACAGTGGCACGCTCACAACTATTGCAGCCTTGACCTGCTGGGCTCAGGCGATCCTTCCGCCTCAGCTTTCCAAGTAGCTGGAACTACAGGCATGCACCACCACTCCTGGCTAAGTTTTTGATTTATTGTACAGACAAGGTCTTGCCAAGTTGTCCAGGCTGGTCTTGAACCCTGGGCTCAGGCAGTCCTTTCTCCTCAGCCTCCCCAAGTGCTGGAATTACAGGCATGAGCCACTGTGCTCGACATTGCCCTCCTTTTAAAGAGTAAGACTGCTGGCTGGGCAGTGGCTCACACCTATAATCTCAGCACTTTGGGAGGCTGAAGTGGGAGAATTGCTTGAGCCCAGGAGTTCAAGACCAGCCTGGGCAACGTAGTAAGACCCTGTCTCTTTTAAAAATAGTAATAATAATATTAAAATAAATAAATAAAAAAGAGTAAGACTGATGGCCCCAGAGACAGGTGTTGGAAAATAACTAATGAACTGGAGTAACAGACTGTCTGGAGCTCTGGCTCACAGAGGGCTTGAAAATGGGCTTCCTCCCTTGTGCTTTTAGGACAAGCACTTTAAACAACTCATTTCAGGTCAGGTGTGGTAACTCATGCCTGTAATCCTAGTACTTTGGGAGGCTGAGATAGGAGGACTACTAGAGCTCAGGAGTTCGAGACCAGCCTGGGCAGCATAGTGAGACCTTGTCTCTACAAAAAATAAAAAAATTAGATGGGTGTGGTGATGCAAGCCTGTAGTCCCAGCTATTCTTGAGGCAGAGATGGGAGGATTGCTTGAGTTCAGGAGGCTGAGACTGCGATGAGCAGTGATGGTACCACTGCCCTGCAGCACAGGTGACAGAGTGAGACCCTGACTCAAAAATAAATAAATAAACTCATTTCAAAGGAGAAAATGCTTTTGAGCTAGATAAATCTGAAAAGTCTCTTCTAGCTGTAAAGTTATTTTATAAGTTTAGTTTTTGGTAGGACTTTCGTTAAAAAGGATATGTCATATTTTAAAAATGCACTTATGCCTGAATTATAAATAGTTTTGTCTCAGCATCCCATTTTTGGTTTTTCCCATATCCTATAATCATAGGTAAAAGTGATCTTACCTAAGAGGCCGCTCACTATTGGGACACCGAGCCTTGGGAAATCCCGTTTCAAAGAGGTCACCTATTGTCTGTGTCTCCAGGGAGGCCCTGTGCGCCTCGTCACAAGTCCCAGGCTGCCTGGGTGGTGCTTCTGTCCAGCCCTGGCATCTCCAGGCATCTGCACTTTCTAGTTTGTTGTAATGAAACAGCATGACATAAGTCAGGTCCTGTCGTTCCACATAAAAGCTGACGTCATCACAGTGGCCTTCAGGGACCATCCCCTTTCTGCCCACTCGCCGTATGCACCTAGCTCCCGTTTCACAGCCTGTGTATGTGCTGTTCCCTCTGTCTGCGCACTCTTCTCCCAGAGTGTTGCTGGTTTCCTGCTTCCTTCAGGGCATTCTTCAAATGCCATCTTCTTTTCAAAGTCTTCCTGGTGACCCATTTTCAAAATGTAAATCTCCTACCTGGAAACTCCCTTTCATTTTCTCCAATGCCCTTATCACCATCTAGCAAAAATAAATAAATTACATAGTGGTTTCCCATTTGTGTGTGTGTGTGTGTGTGTGTGTGTGTGTGTGTGTGTGTGTGTTGTTTTTTGTTTTTCCTTTTGAGTTGGAGTCTCACTTTGTTGCCCAGGCTAGAGTGCAGTGGCGCGTTCACAGCCACTGCAGCTTTGACCTGCTGGACTCAGGTGATCTTTTCACCTCAGCCTTCCAGGTAGCTGGAACTATAGGCACATGCCACCACTGCCGGCTAATTTTTTGTTTTATTGTAGCGATAAGATCTCACCAAATTGCTTGGGCTCGTCTCGAACTCGTGGCCCCAGGCAATCCTCACACCTTGGCCTCCTAAAGTACTGGGATTATAAGGGTGAGCCACCACGCGGCCTTTTGTGTTTTTATTACACAATGGCTCTCATGAGAATATCAACCGTGGAATGACAGGACATTTGTGTGTTTCATCTCTGCTGTGTCTTCAGGGTCTGGATAAATACCTGCACAATGGCAAGTCTTGGTGTGTTTGCCAGCAAGGGACTACATATTAAACTCTGAAGTTGTGTCTATTGCAGTAGTGGTGATCATACACTTTGGCATCTCTTTATAGTTTTAAAAGCCCCCCCCCCTTTTTTTTGAGTCAGAGTCTTACTCTGTCACCCAGGCTGGAGTGCAGTGGCACGCTCATGGTCACCGTAGCCTTGACCTGCTGGGCTCAGGCGATTCTTCTGCCTCAGCCTTTCAAGTAGTTGGAACCACAGGCACATGCCATCACTCCAGGCTAATTATGATTTATTGTAGAAACAAGGTCTCTCCAAGTTGCCCAGGCTGGTCTCCAACCTCTGGGCTCAGGCAGTCTTCTAGCCTCTGCCTCCTAAAGTACTGGGATTATAGGCATGAGCCACTGCACCTGGCTTGAAAGTCCTTTTTTAATGGTTAAACTAATTTGTTTAACACTCAGCTTTTGAGAGGTCATCTTGGCAGGTATTAGATCAGTTTTACAGGTGAAGAAATTTAGCTTGAAAAGTTGCGTGGATCCCCAGAGGCCATTAAGTTTAATAAATGCTCCTTTAAAGACACTTCCAGGTTTGGAGTGAGCAAACTGGCATTTATAAGCAGTGGTTTGAATGAGGGCTCAGGGTGAAGGATCAACCAGTAGCTAGTTCTGGAGGTGGGGGCGTGAGAGTGTAAAATATTGTCCTCGCTGTTGTCTGGGGAAAGGGAGGTGGCTAGGATGCCGTGGGATTATACACAGCAAGAAAAGGCTGGGTGTTACTGACTCTGGGATAGGGATGTGGGTCAACGATCAGAAGTGAGTGTGGCAGGGAGGGGTGTAGCTGTGGAGAAGCAATGGCATGTATGCATGCCAGGCTCCAGGTGTGGTCTCAGGGCTAGATGTGCATGTGATCTTGAGTGACCTGCTTGTGTGCAGCATGACTCAGGCTCTTCCTAGCACGGGGCATAGGAGGGTCACATTACTACTGTGTTCTGAGGCAAGCCACGGTAGCTGCTGTTGAGCTGGTATGTTCCTGCACTTTCCCTTTGTCGTGATTGCCTGCCCATGGCCCTGGGAATGGCTTTGGTACCAACTCAGGACCCCCAACCTCTCAGAAGTCCCCAGTGGCCAGCTGAGTTTGTCCCAAGTCCAGCTCCAGTCCTGGGCCAGCACCCACTCCAATTGTTCAGTGCCTCTTGTAGTCTGTTCCCACTGCTGTAACAAAATACCTTAAAAAAGAAATGCATTACTCATAGCTCTGGAGGTTGGGAAATCCAAGGTCAAGGTGCTAGAAAATTCAGTGTCTGGTGAGGGCTGCTCTCTGCTCCCAAGATGGGCCTCTTTGCGTTGTTCTCACATGCAGACCTCTAGTTGCATCCATGAGGGTGGCACCCGCATGGCCCAGTCATCCCCTAGGGCTCTGCCTCTTAATACAGTCACTTTGAATATGAGGCTCCAATAGTACAAGCTTTGGGGGATTGCCAGAATTAGACCACTGGGGACCCACATCATGCTGGTGGGTAATGTTTTCAAAAGTGCCTGGGGTGGTTTTAATCAGAAGCTAAAGCACAGAGCAAGACTGGAACCTGGCAGGCTGGCTCCAGGGCCCATGCTCCTCCCTCAAGTGGAGGTTCAGAAGCCCACGGGGACTGTGTGCGTACCTCTTACCTCTGGGGGCAGACAAGAAGTGTGGTGGAAGCTTCCGCCGATGGGGTGTTTTTCTTCCTTATGAAGGAGTTTGAAGTGTGTGTTGAACATAGCAGTGGGCACTGCTCATGATCACCTCTAGCCCTGCTCTTCCATAGCGCTCCATGTTGGGCCTCTCCTCATGGAGCAGGTGCTCTCCCCACCCTGTTCATGGCCTTCCTATGCTTGCTCTGCCCAGGTCAGGCAGCACTTGCCTTGCTTCTGGGAGGTATTCTGCCACGTTGCTGCCTCTGAACTCGGGAAGTTCCTCGTGCTGGCCTCTCACCCTCCTGGAAGCGGCCTGGTGTGTCTCAGTCGTGGCTTCTGTCCTCCTGCAGTCAGCATGAGCTGGCCTTGAGCCTCTGCCTCCAACCTTCCTTACCTACAGGTGTCTGCTCCTTGCTTGGTGACTCCACTGCTGGGGTTCCTTGATCTCTGACCCCAGCCCTTATGAGGATCTTCTATGTGTGCTATGTCTGGTAGGAACCTGGGCAGAACCCCATGACAGCCATCAGTGACTGCAAGGAATCGTGCGAATTCTCACACTACATGGAACATAAGCAGATTATACCCCATATAAACTTCAGTTAGGTTTTACTATAAATTGAAGACAGCTTTGAATTTTTAGACTTTTTTGGATTTCAGGATTATGGGCCTGATTTCCCTCATTGGGAAACTTACTTCTCCACAAAGCCCTTACTGCATTTTCTTCAGCAGTGACCATCCAGTCCAGGAGACACTGCAGGGTGGAACACGAACAGTAAACATCCCTGAGCCAAATGTTGCACCCTTCTTCAATCTCTTGTAGCTTGCAGCCCCTGGTCAGTGTTTATTCTGTGTGTGTGGAGTCAAATTGAGCAGCCCGGGACTTGGCTATGGGTATGGCATGAATAGACAGAGAATAGAGACCCGGTGCCCAACGGCTGGGAGACTGCTGACTAGGGTGGGCAACCTTTATGGCTCCTTGACTTGGTGCTGGTTGGTCATGTTTAGATGTGCTTCTGGCTGAAATGCGTCTTTGGGGGGAATGTGACTTTACTAGGGAAGCCCAGCACTAGTGCACAGGTTGTTTTGTTGGGGGGAGCTTGTTCCTCTGTGTTTAATTTTGGTGTCGTCTTCTTCAGCGGCAGGAAATGCATTCTGCCAGGCGGCCAAGCTCCATATGCAGCTTCAGAGCAAACATGACTCTGCCACCAGCTTTGTGGATGCCGGGAATGCGTACAAAAAGGCGGACCCCCAAGGTAAGCCATGGTACCACACACCTGCCTCGTGACTGTCAATGCAATTCTTTGATGGTGGCATCCATGTTGGTGTCCTTTTGAGTCCTAGTAGAAAAGGGATGTTTGTGTTTTTGAATAATAGAGAAATTTTGGTAATGGTAAGAATTTTTCTTCTTTAATCATTAGGGGGCTTTTATGAGGAGAAAATATGTTAAATTTGTCCTGTCTGTTCAATTGACAGTGTCAATTCTTTTTTTTTTTGAGTTGGAGTCTTACTCTCTCACCCAGACTGGAGTGCAGTGGCTGCTCTCGGCCACCGCAGCCTCGACCTGCTGGGCTCTGGCGATCCTTCCACCTCAACCTTCCGAGTAGCCGGAATTACAGGCATGCGCTACCAGGCCCGGCTGATTTTTTGGTTTATTGTAGAGATGAGGTCTTGCTGCCCAGGCGGGTCTCGAACCCGCGGGCTCAGGCAATCCACTCACCTCAGCCTCCCAAAGGCGTGGGATTATAGGCTGAGCTACCGAGCCCGGCAACAGTGTCATTTTCTTAAACTCCATTTTGCATTTTAGACCTTTTTTTGGAAATTACCTTTAGTTTTATCTGAGACTTCTTATATCTTAATTCTATGAAAATGTATATTGATCATGAAAGGAAACTCCAGTGTTTCCTTCCTCTTGAATACCTAGTGAGTTTTGAGACCCAGTCAGTGGAAGGGTGTAATAATACCTGAGGGCTGAAAACATCCCCTACTCATACAGTATCCATTTTCTTTTTTCAAAATGTTTTTCAATGTATTTGTTTTGAGCAAAGAGTGAGATTGGACATGTAAAGTAGTAAAACTTTGCAAGATGACTTCTTTTACATTTAGAAGAGTACACTTAGCAGTTAAAAGCCTTAATTTCTTCTCTCCCACACATGTGCACAGAGAGCTCTGAGTCTTCAGTTTTTCTTTAGCAATCCATTTTGTTTAACGCACAGATCCCAACTTTTATTAATATATCATAAAGAAATTAAATATCTTCAAGGCCCTTGTCTAAAGATTAACACATATAAGAGCTCTTCGGCCACATCTGTAATCCAGTATTTTGGGAGCCTGAAGCAGGAGAATTGCTTGAGGCCAGGAATTCATGACCAGCCTGGGCAACAAAGGAAGGCCCTGTCTCTGCAGAAAAAAGATACCTTCAAGGCCTTTTGTCTGAAGGTGAGTCACAGTTCATTTCCAAAAATGAAGACTGGACACAGCTTCCAGGAGCAGTTAGAGCAAGTTATAATGGTTAGAAAGTGGCTAGCAGTTAGAAAGGTTATAATACAGGCATTCAGTCCCTGCTTATAGACTCTGTAACAGCCTGGTGAATGTCACATGGTAATTAAAAGAGCACATGAGACTGGGGTAGTATGATCTAAATTTCACAAGGAAGTTGTACACACAGAAATGTACCAGTAAGTACGGGGTGGAGGTAGGGATGTTTGAATCCTCATGGTGGGTTTGAGTGGGTTTGTATACAGTCTGATTTTCTCTTTTTTGTATTTTTAAAGGTATAACAGTGAATCCACATTTTAAAAAATGTAACTTAGAGGGAAATTGCCTTAATTTTTGTTCATCTTTTTAACCTTTCCAATTCTTTAGTTAGGTCTTTCCTCTTTTTTGCCTCTTTTAAACCAAAAACAATGAACTTGGAACTGCTGCTATATGCCCCCATTATAAACATCACCATTTTATGACAGGGCAACTTCTGGCTCACTGCATGAGAACATTGACATAACTTATTAGCATTCTCGTTTATCAGATGTGTTTTTTCCTTTGTGGCTGTGTTAGTACACCAGAAATTAGCATCTCCGAATGGTGTACAGAATGCCAGCTTCACTGATTGGTGTCTGACCAGCATGCCAGAGAGCTTTTGCTTTTGGCTGCCTGAAGAATGGTCTGTCGAAGTGATGCTCTTGTGACATGGCACAACTCCAAGATCAGCATGTGTACATGGTGTGAATGAAGGCTGCACTTAACATGTGTTTTAGCAGAATGATTTCTCAGTGCTGGCGCCAGCCTCCGTGGCTTATATTCCCTATGATGCAGCCTTTCACCTGCTGGAGTCCTCAGTTAAGGTTAAGAGCAGCTGAGCCAGTGTTGCTCCAGGCGCAATTCTCAAATGCCACTGTGGCTGCTGGAACAGAGCTGTGCCAATGAGGCTGGACGGGTGCATTATCTGTGCTTGCTTCTGCTAACTAACCTGCTCACCCTCCGCCCCCAAATTGTACCTCATTAATGTTCCGATGACAGCCAGGAAGACAGGCTCACCTGAACGCTCTTTGACTGAATGGACTTTTTGTTGTTTTTCTTGAACGCCTGCGCTTCAGAGGCTATCAACTGCCTTAACGCGGCCATCGACATTTACACAGACATGGTAAGACCTGGCGTTGCTGAGTGGCATGGGGTGGCATCCCTGAGATGGCTTCCAGTTGCGTTTTTTTTTTTCTGTCCCTGAGCTGAGAGCATCCCAGCAGGTGGAGCGGAGTGTGACTGCTTTTGTTTTTCTCAGGGGAGGTTCACAATTGCAGCCAAGCACCACATCACCATTGCAGAGATCTACGAGACTGAGCTGGTAGACATCGAGAAGGTAAGCAGAAGACTGAGCTGGTAGACATCAAGAAGGTGCAGATGCCCCAGTGTGAAGTGGGTGTGGAGTGTGGACGGGCTGGTGCAAGGCACCCTCTCCTCCCCGCGACTCAGGGGTGCAGAATGATCCTAGGCAGCTTTACGTGGAGGTGCCCTGGCAAGTGGGTGAGCAGTTCTCCTGGAGGGTGCTACTGAGACACGAGGGCTGTTGAGGTCACCAGGCTCATGCGTGCTCCCACCTCTGGCTCATGTCAGAACACTGATGTTATCGCAGAATCTTCAGCTGTACTGTGAGCGTGCTGAGCCCTGGGAAGGAATTTGAGAGGTGACCTCTACACCCACTCACCTTCTCAGCTTTAAGTCTCATCTGTCACCCAGGGAGTCAAACCTGCCCAGCTTGGACTCTGGCTCCACAAATGCCCGATTCCCATGTCTGCATGCCTGCTGACTGTACCCCCTGGCCACATGTACCTAAGTCCTCTCCCACCCAGCACATCTGAGCCTGGGCTTCCACCAGGCACCCTGCCCTGTGTTTCCCCTATGCCACAGGCTCCCGTCAGTCCTCTCTCACATGTTCCTGTGAGCAGTTTCCAGGGCTGCCGTCTTCCATGTGTGTCAGTACCACCTGTGACTCCTGGCTTCCATGTGATCTCTACGGGACTGCCCCACTGGTCTCCCCACCTCACTAGTCTCCCTGCCTCTGCTCCCTGCCCCCACACCCTGCCTCAGAACAGCTGGAGTTAGCCATGTAAGCAGAAATCAGATGATATTTCTCGCTGCTCACAGCCTTTCCTCGGCATCCCCTTCACCAGAGGAACAGCCAGAACCCTGCAGAGCCTTCACAGGCCACCCCGTTCTTCCACGCACCTGTGGGCCCTCTCCTGTCTCCTCCTACTCCTCTTGTACTCCGCCCTGGCCACCCTGGCCTCCTCCCTGTTCCTCGCACAGGCTGTGTGAGTGCCTGCCCCAGGGCCTTTTCGCATCTGCAGAGCTCTCCCCAGATGTCCCCAGGGTCAACTCCTACCCATCCCTCAGGTCTGTGAAGCTGACTTCCCCACCTCCGCCTATTTTTGCTCATGTACCACCTTTTCCATGAGGCCTATCATCACCACCTGCTTGAAATTACACCCTTAGGCCCTCAGGAGTACTCACCAGACACCCCGTGCCTCACTTACCCTTTTCCCTTTACTGCAGAGTGGGAGTCCCTCTACCCATACTGCCCATCCTCCTGGCCTCCCTCACCTCCCCTCACTAGCATGGGTGTCCTCCTCTGCTGCTGTGACCAAGGACCCCAGTGCTCTGGGACTTAGCACTAATATATGTTTGTTGAATAAGCAGTGCTTCTCTCTCTGCCATAGCAAATGGCGCCTTCTTGGTTCAGGGAAGCATCTCTGAGGCAGCTCTAAACTGGATCAGTGTTCACGTTCACTGTCTGACTTCATGTGATCACCGCTTTTTGGTATCTCAGCCACATTATGTAAAACTCGTTCTTGGGCCTCGCGTCTGTTTTCATAACTGCCATGCCTTCTGAGGGTTCCTCTGAGCTGGAAGGAATCGGGCTCCCTGTTCAGGAAGGCTGTGCCTCCTGGGGAAAGATGGTGGGGCTGGACCTGAGACCCCATGTTTCCTGTGTGGGATAGTGGTGGGACAGGAGGCAGATGGCTCTGGTGGGGTGGTACCTGCATGGTCAGCATGTCTAAGCGGGCACAGTGTCCTGACTGAGGCTGTGCCTGGCATCCCTGCCCACAGAAGCTCTGGCAGCCTTCCTGCCAACCTCCCCTCCACAGCGTCGGTGGAGATGCTGTGGTAGGAGACCCGCGTGCTTCATCATTCTCACCACGTGGGTCACCATGAAACTGGGGTGGATAAAGTGACCGGTAGCATGCTGTGTTCCTTTCTTTCTCAAAGAATGGATGATGTGCTGTGGTGGCTTCTATAATCCCTTGGGGCTTGGCATACCTGCCATTCTGCAAGTGGCCAGCAGTGGCCCCTCTGTGACCGTGGTGTGTCGAGTCTTTGAAAAGCATCGTGAAGAGAATGTTGTTGACACAGATGGCTGGCTTGCCTGGTCCCTGTACTGGGTCCTGTATTGCCTGTCTCTCTGACTGGCCCCTCCTGCTGGTGGTCACTGGTGCATGAGGTTCACGTCTGAAGAGTCTGTTCCGCTGGCACCTTCCATCATCGTCCTTACCTTTTGGCCTACCCAGTGTCTGCTCTGATTCATTCACAGATTAGCTGGTGACAGTGAGTGTGATGACGGATTAGCTGGTGACAGTGAGTGTGATGTTCCATAGACTCACATTCTGCTTTTACTCCACAAAGCCAGATAATAAATGAGTCTTTGTTAGAGAGTCCTGATGTGATTGCGGGGCTGGGTTCACTTCCTGCTCAGAGAGCCTGCGTTAGTGCTGTGGGTGTGCATGGCAGGCTTGTGCTGGGTCTCACCAAAGGCGTCTGATCTAACAGCTTCAATCCCGTTTCGTGGCTCTTCAGAGGGATTTCACCAATTGGTAGACTCTCAGGCTTGAACCCTGGACATTGCATTTGCTTTAAGGGACTGATGGTGATATCATGGGCCTGGTTCTCATTTCAGGGTCCCATGCGTCTCTAGCTCTGTGACACTCATGCCGGCTCCCAGGAGGAACAGGTCCCCTTTGGCATGCTGCTTCAGTGGCAGGATGGTCAGCTGGTCTCAGTGGCTGGGTCTCCTGTTGTATGTGCTGTTGTGTCAGGGCTGTGTCTGCTTTGGGTATTTACTGTCGTGCTTGGAGTTGTGCTTCAGACTGATGCTTGGTGTGTCAGGATCTGCACGTGCCTGGCAAATTTCATTACATGTCACAATTCCAGGCTGGATGTGAATATCCTGAGATATAACCCGTGGCCTGTCTCTTTTCTCTGAAACATCACTGTTAACCCTGCAGTTAGACTTTTCTTTCAAGTCCAAAGTCTGACAAAACTTGGGAGAACTATGGAATTTGATGATGGTTTAATTAAGCATTATTAAAAATCAAATAAGTGAAGACTTTTTCTTTACCATAACTGTAGCTGTAGTTTATACTTCGAACAATGTAATGAACCAGTATCATGATTTAATAAGTATTCAGTTAAGCCAGATTTGTCGACATTGGGCCTTTCCTTTTCGCCTCCAAAGCAGCAATTCCATGTGGTTCCCCAGTCCTATCCCTTGAGTCCTGGAGCCGTGAGAATGAGGAGGATGAAGAGCCATACTATCTGCCCAGAAGAGACCGATACCCTGCAGAACGATTTGGTCAGGTTTCTTGGCCTCGTCCCACCCATCCAGCATGATGGGAAAAAGGGTGCTAAATGCTCGTGAGGAGGCCACTTGCGAGGAGGATGTTTGTGATGAAGCACATGTTCTGGAAAGCTTTCCTCTCCTGGGAGTCCATGTGAGTCATGGTCCCCCAGTGGTTAGCAAGCCTTCCCTTGCAGGCCTTCACTCAGTGCCTGCTGGCAAGCACTGCTCTGTGGCGGGCGTGTATTGGGCTCTGGGCTGTGAAGATGAGCAGAACAGCTGGGCCAGCCCTCCCAGAGCTCAATTCAGTGGGAGATGTCCACGCATCCGTGATCCCACACGTGTGCACCGACAGCTCTGAGGGTTCCAGGGACTCTTGTCTTCCGGACGATTCCTGAATGTGACTGTTCATATGCAGAAAGAGGCCCCTCGTACACCTGTTCTCTTGTGGCTACGTCTTCATTATTCCATGAAGAACTTTTCATATGAGTATTTCCCTTCCTTGCCTTTAATACAGCATGGTGACCCATTATATTTAACCATGTAAGTTGTTTTCTCTCCTTATAAGTGCTGCTGAGAATGCACGTGTGTTTGAGGACACTAGTTAGGGTGGGCTAACTGGCTGGGACAGGAGGCCCAGAACCTCATCACTCAAACGCAGCAGGGGTATCTGCTTTTCAGAATTGTTCTAGGTGAACGTTCTCAGTGCTCTGCAGGCCACCCCAGCCTGCTTGCCCCCATAGCCACCTTGCGCAGGAGGTGGGGCCTGAGGCTCAAGGGCAGGGTCTTTTGCTTCCAGTGGGCTCCGGCCAGGGACAGTATCCACAGTGATTTTCTGACACCACTCTGCAGTGGCTTTGTTTTATGTGTTGACTTGTTTCTGCACCCTTGTCTTGCCATGGGGTCTGCCCTGAACCACTGGGCTGATGGCTGGGGTGGGGAGGGGGGAGGCAAGGCAGCACTATCATCTGATCTCAGCACCGTCAGTCATCTGATCTTCGTGCAGTGCTGGCTCCCTCAGTGGGTTTACTGGGAAACCCTGGAGACTCAGCAGGCTCTGCAAACCCACTACCTGTTTCTGTATGCTGCAAGCTAACAGTGGTCTTTCCTTTTTTAATCATTGAAAGAAAAAAGCATTCGTGTCACATAACAATTGGATGTCGTTGACATTTCCTTATTCATAAATGGTTGTGTTGGAACACTGCCATACTTCACCTTTGTATCGCCTTTCGCTGTTTTTGTGGCATGACCAGAGAGCTAGGAAACTGCAGCAGAGCTTGTGTCAGAAAAAAAGTTGGCGAGATCCATGGTGTGAAGAGATGGTTCAGATTTATCTCTTGTCATTTGGGGCCCAGACACCATTGATTTTCCAATCTTATGAGACCCCAGATTCTGGACTTTTCCCTTTCCCAACTCTACAGACACACACCTGCTTTCCCTCTTAAGCCTCCTGGAGCCTTGCCCCCAGCAGCGCACACTGCCCGCCAGCTCTTAGCTGTTTTGCCCAGAGCTTTGGCTCTGATACACGTGTGGTCTTACTTCCGAGTTGCCACACACTTGATTTCATCAACTGTCCCGTCACAGCGTGACAAGGGCTTCTGGCATCTTGGCCCGTAACCTATTTCCTCTCCTTATTACTGTCGCTTGGTGCCACACATTTTGACTGAAGGCAATACCTGTGTTCCAGGTGGTGCTTAAGGAGTAGTGAGGGTGGACTGTGTTGCCCATTGCAAATCTAACATGTGATGAGGCTTTTTGTCCTCCTGCATGTCCAGTATGGCTGTGGGGCTTGGTAGTGCTGGCACTGGGGCACATACTGCCCACTGGAGTTACTCGGGAGCCAGACCACAAGTCTGCTGTCCTTGCCACTGGCTTCCAGGGTCACTCAACTCTGTCACTACCATTCCAGCCCCTGGGGAGTAGAGGCCTGGAGAGGAGTGTGCAATGGGGTTCTCTTGGTGGAGAGCGTGAGTTGGAAGCCCAGCTGCCGTGCCCAGAGGGAGAACAGCGCTGATGGCAGGAGCGCCTGCTGCTGGGCTTCGGGATGCATGCGCTCCTATATCCCTGAGTAAGACAGGCCGTGCTGTGAAGTTTTGCTGTTGGAATAGGTTTACTGGTAGAAAAACATCTGCAAATGTAATTTTGAAGTGCAGCTCTGGGAATGAATCACTTGTGAATGAAATATGTGTGTGTTTCAGGCTATCGCACATTATGAGCAGTCCGCTGACTACTACAAGGGAGAGGAGTCCAACAGGCAAGTGCCATTTCTCCTGACGTGATCTGGGTGGACTCATCGCCGCCTACATGCTCCCAGTGTGTGTGACGACACCACTGGATGGTGCGTGGGGCCCTGACATGCTGTCTGCTTCTCACAGGGTCACTGTTTGCTCTGCTTCTCGCTTTCAGCTCAGCCAACAAGTGTCTGCTGAAGGTGGCTGCATACGCTGCCCAACTGGAGCAGTACCAGAAAGCCATCGAGATCTACGAACAGGTGAGGATGGTGCTCCTCGGAGACAGGTTGCTCTGGGTCATCTTCTTAATTAAACTTTTATTTAAGTTTTCTTTTCGCTGAGAGAGAATTCACACACCACGTAACTTATCCTTTTAATGAGGACACTTCAGTGGTTTTCAGTCTATTCTCGAAGTTGTATTACCAATACCACCACTTAATTCCAGCACATTTTCATCAACCCTGAAAGAAACCTGGATGCCTTTTTCCCCTCCCCAGTCCCTGGAACTCATGATCTACTTTCTGTCACAATGGATTTGCCTGTTCTGAGCCTTTAGTGTGTGTGGAACCACACCCTGTGCAGCCTTTTTTGACCAGCCCCTTTGACTTAGCGTATTGCTTTCAGGGTTCATTCGTGTCGAGACAAGCATCAGTACTTCATTGCTTTTCAGGACTTGTAGTACTCCACAGTGTGTTCGTTCATTCATCAGTTGATGGACCTTTGGAGTTGTTATGAATAACACTGTGTGAAAGTTTCTGTGGGGTGTGTTTTCATGTTTTCAATTCTCTTAGTGACACACCTGGAAGTAGAATTGCTAGGCAGGTGGGGAGTCCATGTTTAACTTTTTGAGGAACGGCCAAGCTCCTCACGGTGCTGCACCGTGTCACCTTCCCACCAGTAATGCACAAGGGTCCAAGTATCTCCATGTCCTCACTGACACTTATTGCTTTCTGGGGTTTTTTTAGTGGTAGTCACCCTAATGAGTGTAACGTATCTCATTGTGGTTTTAATTTGCATTTCCCCAGTGATTGGTGATGTGCAGTGTCTTTTCATGTGCTTATTGGCCATTTTTATTATTAATATCATCTTTGAAGAAATGTCTGTTCCAGTTCTTTCCCCAGTTTTTAATTGGGTTGTTTGTTGGTGGTGAGTTTGAGGAGTTCTTCACATATTCATGGATTTTTCTTTGTCTTCAGATATGTGGTATGCAAATATTTTATTTCATTCTCTGAGTTGCCTTTTTACTCTGTTATTAGTGTCCTCATGGACAGAAGTTTTTTAATTCAAGTGAAATTCAGTTTGTCGATTATTTTTCTTTAGTTGTCTAAGCTTTTGTTGTCATGCCTAAGAAAACACTGCCAAATCTAGTATCATGAAGCTTTTCTTCTCTGACTTGTTCTAAGAGTTTTATGGTTTTAGCTTTTAGGTTTAAGTTTTTTATGCATTTGAGCTAATTTTGTATAGGTAAGGGTCCAACTTTATTTTTTATATGTATATATCTAGTTTTCCCTGCATCATTTGTTGAATAGAGACTATCTTTTCGTTGTTGAGTAATATTGAGTATTGAAAATTATTTCACTGGCATGTGAGAGTTTACTTCTGGGCTCTCTGTGCCATTGGTCTCTTTATCTGCCTTTATACCAACATTACACTGTTTTTATCACCATAGATTTGCAGTACGGTTTGAAATCAGAAAGTGTGTGTCCTCCCATTTTTTTCTTCTTTCCGAAGACTGTTTTTGCTGTTCGGGATCCCTTTAGGATCAGCTTGTCAGTCTCTGCAGAGAAGCCAGCTTGGATGTTGTTAGGGACGGTATTGAATGTATAGACCAATTTGAAGGATCATATTCTGCCAGAGAAACAGCCTGTGTAAAAAGTCAGTCATCCTTTTACATAGGTTTCACATTCCCACAGATAGTGTGTTTTTGAATCGTCTTTGGTTGAAAAAAAATCTGTGTATGAGTGGACTCACACAACTTAATCCCATGTTGCTTGAAGGTCAGCTGTATACCTCCCTGAAAAGCTGTTTTAGTAGTTGCTGTAGGTATTACATTACATGTACAAAACTTGCCACAGGTTAGTGGTGTCATCATTTTATCAGTTCTGGTGAAATACAGAGAACTCTTACCTCATTTTATGTTCCTTCACTCTCCCCATTCAATGTGTGATTGTCTTAAATGTTCCCTCTACAGGCTTTTAGAGTCATGTCAGTCAGTGTTAGAATTTTTGCTTCAGCTATCAAACGTAATTTAGAAAACTCAAGAAGGAAAGTCAGTTGTATGGACTTGTGTTTTTGCACACTGTTTTTCATTCCTGGTTTCCAAGGGTCTTTCATTGTTGCCCTTCTCCTCAGAGAGCATTCTTTTGCCATTTTTTAGGGTGGGTCTACTGGCAGCAGATTACCTGCATTTTCCATCACCTGGACATGTCTTGCTTTCCCCTTCATTCCTGAAGCGTGATTTCCCTGGGTGTGCAACTCTCAGCTGATAGCACTTTCCTTTAGCTGGAGAATGTGCAATTGCAGCCTCTGTGGTTTCTGATGAGAAGTCTGCTGCTGTCATGTTTTTTCCTATAGGTAACATATTGCTCTGGGCACTTTCAGTTTTTTCTTTGTCTTCGGTTTTTTGGGTTTATTTATTTTTTTGTTTTTGGGGTTTTTTGAGTTGGAGTCACTCTGTTGCCCAGGTTGGAGTGCAGTGGCACGCTCACTGCCACTGCAGCCTCGACCTGCTAGGCTCAAGCGATCTTTCCACCTTAGCCTTCCAAGTAGCTGGAACTACAGGCGTACACTACCACACCCAGCTTATTTTTTGATTTATTGTTCGAGGAGGTCTCACCAAGTTGCCCAGGCTGGTCTTGAACACCTGAGCTCAGGCAATCCTCTCACCTCGCCCTCTCAAAATGCGGGTATCACAGGCTTGAGCCACCATGCCTGGCCTGTCTTTGGTTTTTTAAAGTTTAATTATAATGTGGTTGGAATGAATATATTTGGTTTTATTCTATTGGATTTCACTAAGTTTCTAGGATCTGAAGTTTATGGGTTTGTTTGGGGTTTTTTTGCCAAATTTGAGACTCTTTTTAGCAGCTGTTCCTTCAGTTGCTCTTTCGGTTCCCATCTCTTTCTCCTCTCCTTCTGGTACTCAGGTGACCAAAGAATGAGACCTTGTGTTGCCGTCCTGTTGGTCCATGGTGCTCGTCCCTGGTCTCTGTCCCTTTTCTGTCATTCAGAATTCCTCCTGTCACTGGTGTACTGCTGCTTCCCTCTGTCCCGTCCATTTGTCGATCCCACCCACTTTTTATGTATGTTACTGTGTTGCTGAGTTCTGAAATGTTCATTTGAGTTTTCTTTATATCATCTTGTTTTTTTCTGTGACTCTCCTTATTGATGCATTTTTAATTCTTCCTCTTTTTTTTTTGAGTTAGAGTCTCACTCTGTCGTGGCTCACCACAGCCTTGACCTCCTGGGCTCAGAGCAGTCCTTCCACCACAGCCTCCTGAGTAACTGAGACTACAGATGCATGCCACTACACCTGGCTAATTTTTTTATTTTGGAAGGGAGAGGGTGGTGGGATGAGTTCTCATTGTGTTGCCCAGGATGGTCTCAAACTCCTGGGCTCAAGCAATCCTCCCACCTCAGCCTCATAAAGTGCTGGGATTACTGGTGTGAGCCATCACTCCAGGTCATGTTGATGCATTTTTTAATTTCTTATTAAGAAGGCTCCTTTAAAATCATCACTAGACAATCCTAACATTTCTGGCATCTGGGAATTGCCATCGGTTAATTGTCTTTTTCATTTAGCTCAATATCTTCTTGCGTTTATGGTATTGAGAGTGACTTTCAGTTGAGAATGGCACTTTCACATTAGATTCTGAGACTCTGGTTCTTCTTCACCATCTCTCTCAGCTCTTAGGTGCTCCTCTGGCTGGCGCAGGTTGAGGGTGCCAGGTGGGGGTAGAAGTTGAGGCTGCCCGCCAGGCCTCCCTTGACACCTGCGGGGGCCTGGCTACCCCTGGGCAAAGGTGGGCTTCCCACTCGTGGGCACCATGCTGGGTTGCTTTTGTCACCTCTGGTGATGGTGAGGGTCTCCACCCTCCACTGGGCATCTTCCCACCACACCAGCTGGGGAAAGGAGGAGCACCTGGTCCTGCCAGATGTCAGGGCCAGGGAAGTGAAGCCTTGCTCCCTAGCTGACCTTCTCTAGGCCTCCTCGGTGGGCTCGGGCTTCTCCTCACAGTCTTGCAAGGATGGACATTGCGTCCCTGTCTTCAGCCTTTGGGGACAGAGGTGGGTGGCCCAACCTTCTGTGGTGTGGGTCTAGAGGAGAGTGGTTGCTGTCTGAGGGCTTTATCTCCTTTGGCTAGAGAGAGTGGGCTGTGGTCTCTTCCTACCTTTTTGGGTCTGCGTCTAATGGCCTTTCTGGGTTGTTGGCTCCTCAGTTCCATGCCATGGCATAGGAAGGAAAAAGAAACCCAGGGACTCCACTACCATGTTTTCCCTTGGCCAGCCCTCTTCTGTCCACAGATACTTATTTGATAGAAAGTGACTTGGGCTTTTAGTTGTGCTTATGGGGAGGAATAGGGGAAGGAATGTCTCCTCCATCCTCCTGGAAGCAGAAGTCTTCTGGGTCATTTTTAGGAGTTAATGCTTCATGTATTTGATATTCTTGTCTAGAAAAATGTTCTACTATGTGATATTGGGTGAAAGAATGTATTTCATAGCTAAGTTAACGTGGGATATGTAAGTACTTTTTAATGGCCACAAGTGAGAATTATTTTGCCTAATATAAGAAGGTAAACCTAGCTGGCTATGATGGCAATTGCCTGTAGACCCTGTTACTCTGGAGGCTGAGGAGGGAGGGTCACTTGAGCTTAAGAGGCCGAGGCTGCAGTAAGCCATGATTATGCCACTGCCCTCTAGCCTGGGTGACAAAGTGAGACCTCAACTGAAAGAAAAAAAAAAAAGCAAAGCCTTTTAAGTGTTCTTCTGTTTTCTGTGCCTAGGTTGGAGCCAACACAATGGATAACCCTTTGCTGAAGTATAGTGCCAAGGATTACTTCTTCAAAGCAGCCCTCTGCCACTTCATCGTGGACGAGCTGAATGCCAAGGTGAGGGGCCCTCGGTATGTGCCTTCTGGCGCTCTCTCTGTACCTGGAGAAGGAAAATTGCCCTCACACACACTCCCTGCCTTTTTTGGTGTCGTTTCCTCTGGGTATTGATAGCAAGACTAAGCGGGGTGTGTTAAGAGTAACAGTGTAAGGCTATGTCCCAGCCGCCAAGGTCATTCTATGACAGCTCCCTGGAGGCACCTTCCCTTCAGTAGTTTTGCTTTTAAAGCACTTAGGAAACCAAGGAGGAGACATACAAGTAGAATAACACCCTTTAAAAAAAACCCCAAAATGGAGTTGGAGTGAGGCCTGGAGAGTGGAAAGCACAGTAGAGGGGGAAAGGGACGGGGAGGTGGCTCAGGGGTGTGGCAGGGCCGGAGGCAGAAGTGAAACCTCAGGAGAAGCGTCCCTGCTCTGGCCTCAGCAGGCCACATGTGATGACCCGGAGTCTAGGCAGTGGAGAAGGGGCTGCTCCCTAGGGTGGGTCAACAGAGACCCCTGGTCTGGGCTTTCAAGTTAAGTTTACATCGTTTTCTCTGCAGCAGCCAAACTCGGAGAAATGGGTTGAGGGATTATTCTTAATTGAAACTGAAAAATTTAGAATAAGTAGGTTTCCCGTGTTGCTTCTGCCAAGTCTAGCTGTGGACTCCCTAAACACCTGGGCAGGATATGGCTTGATCTCACTGACCTGCTGTGATGCTGAGAGTTTGGCTGTGAGTTCCTTAGGCGTGACGTTGTAGGTCTCACACTCACCAGTGGTTCTTCTCTCTCAGCTTGCTCTCGAGAAATATGAGGAAATGTTTCCAGCATTTACTGACTCAAGAGAATGTAAATTATTGAAAGTAAGTAATTTTAGAACTTTGAAGAAGAAACCGTTGCTGTAAGGTGCGGACACCAAGTGGGATTGGTGTAAGATGGAGTTTTAATCAATGAAGTCTGCTCACTGTGGGGATTGAGACTTGCTGCTTTTGCCTTGTGGTGTCCAGATGTCACTGGTGTCAGGAGCGCAGCATTGTGTGCTGAAAGGCAGTTTAGAAGCATCAGTGCAAAAGCTAGATCTCTGACATGGATCTTGACTCCTATTTGAATATTCCCCCAATTGTGTGAGGTATTTGGCAGTATCAGTTACTGTGATACTAAGGGTATTTCTTAAAGTATCTATTCCGAAATGGGACGTTTTTGTCTTACCAAACTAACTTTTTTATTTTTTTATGCTACCAGAAACTTCTAGAAGCTCATGAAGAACAGAACAGTGAAGCTTACACTGAAGCAGTAAGTTATGCCTTTGGGATATAGTACTTTCCTGAAGATTTAAGTTACAGGAGCGCCTAGTGTGGTGGCTCAGGCCTATAATCCCAGCACTTTGGGAGGCAGAGGTGAGAGGATTGCCTGAGTCCAGGGGTTTGAGACCAGCCTGGACAACTTGGCGAGACCTGGTTTTCTCTGTTCCGTTACATGTACTCTTCTAATTATAATGATGTACAAATTTTTGTCATGTACATTTGCATACAGAGCAATAGAAAAAGCCCAGAAACTTGCCACTGGTACCATCAAAATTGTAACAGGATGATGAAAAAATAGCCAATTCCTAATGAAGACAGTTGGTGGGTTATCAGTGTGAATGTGTAAACAGTTTGGGGTGCTGTTGTCCTGTGTTTTGAGTGTGTTTACTTAGAATAACCCCGCTCCTCTTTTCTTCCCTAGGTGAAGGAGTTTGACTCAATATCGCGCTTGGATCAGTGGCTGACCACCATGCTGCTCAGGATCAAAAAGTCCATCCAAGGGGATGGAGAAGGCGACGGAGATCTGAAGTGAAGTGGCTCCTTTCTGTGGCATGCAGCTAGCCCCTTCTTAGTTTTGTCTTAGGGCCAAGTGATCTTTATGGGATTCTCATTAATGGCTTAATTTTGTTGCAAATGGGCCACCAGCCTGTGTATTGTTGAAGCACACCAAGTCTGTGTTGCTGGGGGCAGGTGGAGGAAGGCTGTGTCCATCTTGGGGCCGGGTGGGCTGTTTGGTGCAGGTAAGAACCCGCCGGTTCCGCATAGTGCTTGGCAGTTTCCTCCTGTTACTCTACCATTTGCAGAGTCCATGTTCAGTGTTTTTGCTTCTTGTCTTTTCCTAGATCCCAGTACCAACCCAGGTGTTCACAGTTGCTTTGCGTCTTCTCGGCCCATTGGCTTCTGGTGTGTTTTTGAGAAGTGTGTTGCGGACCGTTATTAGGAATGAGTTTATAAGCTTATTAGAAATTGTTTATAGTTTTGTTATGCTGTAATTATTTTAATGGTGCTAGTGACAAGTTTCTTTGCTTTTTGTATTGCTTTGTATGCTACATGTGCATGGCAAAAACATAGAACAGCTGGCGGCTGCAGACGTCATGTACCTTGTGCGGAAAGGAGCTTCCTGGCTGGGCTTGCTTGGTGTGGGGATGAATGTCAAGGTGGACTGGACTAGTTTGTACTTATACTTACAAACATGCACACGTACATACATGAGTCGTAAGATCTGTTGGGTGTGGAGTGTTCTCTTTTGCTGGAGATAGCTTCTCCTTCGAGTTGGAGCAGAAGTCCCTGTCTCTGTATTTGCATCAAAGTGTTTTAATTGGCACATCATCCTGCTCTTTGTGTTTACGTTCCACGTTGGGGTGGTGTCTTTTGTGCCATAGTCACACCTGTCTTGGTCAGGGCTGGATAGATATCTAAGTCAGGTTTGAGAATGTATGTAATTAACTATATCTGCTTATTGTACATGTTGGGTTAGGGTGTGAACAGCACTTTATTTCCATTTGGGCAAAACCCCAGCTTGCTGTCGAGGGGACTGTGTCTTTGGTTTCCATATATACTCTCTAGACTCATGAACTTGATCCTTCCTCTTATTTTATAAGCTGATATTGTCCTTAGACATGCTCTTGCATCCTGAATTTACTCTGCATTTGTCGCCAGACACAACCATGGTCCTTTCTAAACTGTGCTGCTGTAGTGACAGGATGAAATCTCCATGTTACGTCAGGTCAGACGAGTTGGAATGGCATTTCCATTTTTGGGATTGGTAGGATGTGGCACAGAAGTAGAGTGGGCGTGACCAGGCCAGGGCCACACGAAGGGGTTTGAGAAAAGTCTGTAGGTCATCCTGTGTGATGCCACGTGAGGTGGGCTGGCAGAGCAAGAAGCCTGTGACGTCAGCTGCTGTGGGCGGAGGGCATGGGCCTGAAGATGAGGACGCTGTGGCCATGGGCCCTGAAATCTGATGGGAATTCCTTGCTGCCTCTGAAGTTCTGGACCCACAGTGAATGCTAGTGCCGTGGAAGATGATATAGAACAGAGCCCAGTTGACTTCACTTCCCTCCCTCTCAGAATCTCTGAAAAAATGCGGCTCCTGTGTGTGAGGGCACGGAAACTCTGCCAGCAGCCAGATGCGTTTCTGGGCGGGGCGGGGGGCGGGGTGCCCTCTGCGGCCTGGTCCTTTGGTTTTATGTCTGCTTCCCTAGGAGAGCTTGTAAGCAAGCCTGTGGCTTGGTCATCACCAGGTTAAAAAGTCTGCTTCCACTCGAATCAAGAAGCTTCTGATCTGACAACTCACACACCCATTGTTTCTTTTAGGACAGTTCTGTTTTGCTTCGTCAGGATCCTCTGATGGGCTCTTCTGAAGAAAGGGATATTTGGGGGGGGTTTTTTGAGTCAGAGTCTCGCTCTGCCACCCAGGCTGGAGTACAGTGGCACGCTCAGAGCCACCGCAGCCTCGACCTGCTGTGTTCAGGCAATCCTTCCCCCTCAGTCTTCCAAGTAGCTGGAACCCCAGGTGCGTGCCACCACGCCTGGCTAATTTTTTCATTTATTGTAGAGATGAGGTCTTGCCATGTTGTCTAATGCCTGGACTTGTCTCTAATGCCTGGACTCAGGCAATCCTCTCGTCTCCACCTTCCAAAGTACTGGGACTATAGGCATGAGCCACTGTGCCCAGTGAGGATGGTTTTTTAACAGTAGTATTGGGAACATTTTGTTATGTTAAATTAGAGTCGCTTGTTTGTATTGGAATAAGCACTGGAATGAGTTTCTGGGTTAAGAATTAATTTTTGTTTTAAATGTTTCACATGGGAAGGGTGAAAGTAACAGTAATGGCTAGAATAGACCTGCCAGCAGAGATAAGAGTCCAGATAACAGTGTGTTGACTTCCTTCTTGCTGATGTCCCGTGGACACAGGACAGTGCCATGCCTCCAGACCCGTGAGCACGGTGTGCAGGATTTGTCAAGTGTCATTTAGGAACAGAAGGTAACAGTTCTTCATGGAACGTTTGTGCACTTTAGCAGAGCTGGGGTTAGTTCATAAGCAGTTAAAGTTTCTGACAGGAAAGCTTTGCTTTTTATGGCAACATTTTTATAGCTTGTGTGCGTTCTTTTTTTATGTAATGGTTTGAACACAGTGTTTTTGCACAATCGTGCCCATGTGTGGTGGTGTCACATAACCAAAGTGTATGCACCGGCCCTGTGCACTAATCGTTTCCTCTGAGTTTGTGCATTAACATGTCCAAATGCAAACCTTGTGGCTCTTTGGAGGACTTGCAGCACAGCATGCCCTGTGACCTGCCTGCTGCAGTGTGAGCTGTGGCCGCAGCAGGTGTCCTGCCCTGTCCTGAGTGGCTCTCGGGCGCGAATCATGAAAACTAACCCTGTGTAACAATACGCCTACCTTAGCCGAAAGAGTTTGTTTGTTTTATTTGAACCTGTACAGTTAATAAAATGGAAATTATGAGTCATACTTTGACTAGTCTTTCCTTGCTTTTTACACGGTCAGAAGTGGCTTCCCTGCCCTGAAGTTGTTCCCATAAAGTTGAAAATAGGGGACATTTTCTAGGCTCTTTGGACTTCAGTCATTTCAGGAATATCGGAGTATGTCGTGGTTTTGCAGACCAAGGCTTTAGAAGGAGCCTTGTTGGTGCCATCCACTAAGTGCCTGATACCTCCGTGGCCTTCACTCTTCCCTTGTTTGATCCTGTAGGCTCCATATACTTGACAGTTGAGGAAGGGGTGGCTGCTGGAAGACCATTGGGTGGGGGGAGGCACCTGATACCCTTTCCTTGAGAAAGTGCTGCCTAGCCATCTGGGCAGCGGTCTCTGTACAGGGACAGCAGGTGTCCCTGGGAAGTGTCGAGCCCACTGACCACTGGAGTCTGATCTCTGGGGAGGAAGAGGACCCATGTAAGGTGGTGGAGGCTGGCTTATGCCGTCACCAATCACACAGTATTGATTGAGTCAGTCAGTCATGACATATGTTCACGACTCAGCCATTTTTTTTTAATGGTGGAAGAAGACATCTTAGTCTAGGAATTTTGAGAAACTGGGTGCTCATTCAAGTTCTCATCATTTAAATGTCTCTTCTGGAGTCAGTGTGCCCGAGGCATGTGTTGGTTTCCGAGGCTCGGTGAGGGGGCTGTGCCCGGTGGCCCTGTGACCTGTGTGGCTTCCTCAGCCACATCTTCTCCTGTCTATCTGCAGGTGACAGAGGCCCTTTGGGTGAGTGCCTACCCCAAATGAATGAATGTGATTCCAGCTGCACAAATGCTATCATATCAGTTAAGTGGACAGACAACTGTGGGGTTTCCAAAGGATGTGGAGCTCCTGGTGGGATGAGGTGTGACATTTAACAAATTAACATTGATAACTTATATCCATGCTGGATGCAATGGCTCACACCTATAATTCTAGCACTTCGGGAGGCCGACATGAGAGATTGCTTGAGCCCACGGGTTTGAGACCAGCCTGGGCAACTTGGCAAGTCCTCAACTCTACAATAAATAAAAAAATTAGCCAGGTGTGGTGATACACGCCTATAGTTCCAGCTACTTGGAAGGCTGAGGTGGAAGGATCACCTGAGCCAAGCGGGTCTAGGCTGCAGTGGCCATAAGCAATGTGCCACTGCATTCCAGCCTGGGCAAGAGAGTGAGACTCTGACTCAAAAAAACAAACAAAAAAAACTTACACCCACATTGCTTGTCTGGATGATCACCCACAGAAAAACCACATTTTGGCTAGATGCAGTGTCTCACACTTGTAATCCCAGCGCTTTAGGAGATGGAGGCGAGAGGATTGCCGGAGCTAAGGGGTTTGAGACCAGCTGGGCCTGGGCAACGTAGTGAGACCTTGTCTCCACAATAAATAAAACAATTATCTGGGCATAATGGCGCACTCCTGTAGTTCCAGCGACTTGGAAGGCTGAGGCAGAAGGATCACCTGAGCCCAGCAGGTCGAGGCTGCAGTGGCTGTGAGCGTGTCCCTGCACTCCAGGCTGGGAGAAACAGTGAGACTCCAACTCAAAAAGAAAGAAAGAAAAACCACATTTCTGCTAAGATCACCTTTAATAACAGCCTTCCCCACCATATGGCCCATGTTTTCAAATTCTACCACAAAAACTTGGTAAAACCAAAGGCTGCAGAGCCCTTGGGACTCAGGGCTAAAGGCATTGTACTCAGAGGGCTGGAAGGCATGGAAGCTGCTCCCATGTGGCCTGTGGAGGCCCTGGGAGAGCACTGTGTGACACTCAGCTCTCTCCTGATGCACTGGGGATCCACAGTGGGGGTGGTCTCACTCCCACTCAGTCAGGCTGTGCTGACACCAAACACAGGAGATGCACCACAAAATCCTCTATTCTTGGGCTTCTCGCTTCTTAGGGATAGCCTGGTTCACCCAGAAAGGGGACAGAGACATGCATCTAGTAGAAGGGATGGCCTGGTCTCTCAGGAAGGGGACAGAGACATGCATCCAGTGGAAGAGATGGCCTGATCCCCCCAGGAAGGGGACAGAGACATGCATCTGGTGGAAGAGATGGCCTGATTTCCCCCCAGGAAGGGGACAGAGACATGCATTTGGTGGAAAGGATGTCCTTGTTCCTCAAGAAGGAGACAGAGACATCTGGTGGAAGGGACAGTTTGGTCCCTCAGGAAGGGGACAGAGACATGCATTTATAGAAGGGATGGCCTGTTCCCCTAGGAAGGAAACAAAGACATGCATCTGGTGGAAGGGACGGACTGATCCCCCTTCTCCCCCCAGAAGCGGACAGAGACATGCATCTAGTGGAAAGGACATCCTTGTCCCTCAAGAAGGGGACAGAGATATACATGTAGTGGAAGGGGCAGGTTGGTCCCTCGGGAAGGGGACAGAGACATGCATCTAGTAGAAGGGACTGCCTGGTCCCCCAGGAAGTCAACAGAGACAAGTATCTAGTAGAGGGGATGGCCTGTTTCCCCAGGAAAGGAACAGGGAATGCATTTAGTAGACAGCACAGTCTGGATCCTTAGAAAAGGGATGTCTAGATGAAGGGACAGCCTGGTCCCCCCAGGAAGGGGTCAGAGACATGCATCTAGTAGGAAGGATGGCCTAGTTCCCTGAGGAAGGGCATAGAGACATGCATCTTCCTAGGAAGGAAACAAACATGAAGCTAGTAGAAGGGATAGCCTTGTCCCTAGGAAGGGGATCGAGACAGGCATCTAGTAGAAGGGAAAGCCCAGCCTCCCAAGAAACAACAAAGATATGCATCTAGTGGAAGGGACAGCCTGTTCCCCTAGGAAGGGAACAGGGACATGTCTTTAGTAGAGGGGATGGCCTAATCCCTTATGAAGGAGACAGACATGCATCTAGATGAAAGGGCAGCCTGTTCCTCCAGGAAGTGGATAGAAACATGCATCTAGTGGAAGGAACGGCCTGGTCTTCCCAGGAAGTGATCAGAGACATACATCTGGTAGAAAGGATGGTCTAGTCCCCCAAGGAAGGGGACAGACAGATGCATTTAGTGGAAGGGACAACCTTCTCAGGAAGGGGGGAGAGAATACTATTGAAAGGGATGGCCTGGTCTGTCAGGAAAGTGACAGAGACACACATCTAGTAGAAGGGACAGACCGATCCTCCAGTGAAAGGGATGGCCTTGTCCTTCAGGAAGTGGTCACTGACATGCATCTAGTGGAACGGACAGCCTGGTCCCCCCAGGAAGGGGCTAGCAACATCCATCTAGTAGGAGGGAAGGCTTGGTCTCTCAGGAAAGGGACAGGGACATGAATCTAGTAGAAGGGTTGGCCTAGTCCTCCAGGAAGGGATCAGAGATACCATTCCACTGGAAGGGACAGCCTAGTCCCTGAGGGAAGTAACAGAGACATGCATCTAGTAGAAGGGAAGGCCTGGTCCCTCAGGAAAAGAACAGAGACATGTAGCTAATGGAAGGCATCTCTGGTGCCTCCGTCAACGCTACATGGAGGACAGCAGCTTCAGTTAGACAAGCCAGCTGCACTGATGCCCCGGTGCTGTGTCTGGGCACATGCAGGACATATGGTTGCTTTCCACCCTGCCCTACTCGACATTGCCTGGGAGCCAAGAGTCAAATCAACCCAAGGACTGTAGGAAAGAAAGGCACGTAGACCCTGATTTTATACTTCAGTACTCATGTAAAGTGGCAAGTTATACTAAGAATTCTTTTTCTGAAGAGCCTAAATTGTAATAACGGAAATAAACTTAAAACTGCAAAACTTTTACAAAGCAGACATTTATTGACAATCTTCTGTAGAACTTCTAAAGAAACAAATTTTAAAAAAAAAACTTCCAGTAGGTAACAAAATAGTCTATTGTTTAAATTCCTTCTCATCCAGTGACTTTATTCCATAAACAGTGTGTTGGCAGGGCATGGTCAACCTCCTCTTACCAAGAGTGAAATGCTTGTGTGGCACTTGCTACTTGTTTGTTCCTTAAACAGAACAAGGCTACAGTGACACTGTCATGACTGACGTGAAGGAATCAGTTCTGTGACCTTCAGGGGCAGGTGTGGAACCCCTTATAATGGTTCACTATCTAATGTGTTAAAAATGAAAATAAAAGCAGCACTCGGGAAGAAAGCCCCCCTTCTTGGCATCTGACAGTGCAGCTGAGTCTCTGTCGTGGCACTTAAGGACACACTCCTTCCTCTTGGAAAATCAAGTTTTCACAGCAAGTTTAATAAATTAAAAATAAACAGAAAGCAACTGGTGAGCAAACTGTGAACCTCCTTCAAGTTCTCTTGTAAAGTAACATGTTAGGGGTTACACATGAGTTAGAGTATTCACAAGCTCATGACATGCTCCCCAGGCTCAGAACCAGCTGTCACGTTTAGCAAGTCCAGCACAGTCATCTTTTCAGTGTGAGCTTTTCTGAGTATTAATGAAGTTCCGTATGGAACAGCAAAGGAGCACTTAGGACAGCAGTTGGCTCTCACAACCCACCCTTTAAGGCATAATCAGAGGTCAGTGTCCAGGCTTTGGTCCCTTCTGCTGTGTCCTCACGTGCCCTAAGAAAGCCGTCATTGTGGCTGGAACTGGCCTGTTTCAATCTCTGATTGTGGAAATGAGGAAGTCTGGTTTTTGGAAATTATAGATATCAAGTCAGAAAAACCTGGCAAAAACACAAATACTCTGTGTCCTAAAATTTGCCACAATCACCTCATCTTACAGATAAAATGATATGACGTTCAAGTGCTGGAAAGTCTCTTGCCTAATTTTTCACACCTCTTTGTACTGTCTGGCTAGATTCTTTGGTAGGACAGCTTTCACCTAATCCGAATTTTTTTAAGAAAGGAACTGAACAGCCTCATTGCATTTCAAAGCTGATTCGTGACTTGTCCCAGCAGCACCTGTGCTGGGCGGCACACTGGAGGCAGCTCGGCACGTGCTTAGTTTGTCACACCTTCTGCCTTGTGCGTGGAGGAGAAGGAACACAACTACCCCCGCTTCGGTCCTGTGTGAGGGTCCTGCAGCCCATCAGAGCGGCTTCAATTTGACAGGGAAGAAACATCTGAAAACACAGGGCCCAGTTTTCTTAGCTTGATAGAAAAGTACCTTGAAAGTAGCAGAGAGGTCAACCCACAGGAAGTATAAGGCAGGTGAGAGGCTGGAAGACCAGGAGCAGCGGGGTCACAAGCTATACCCTTGCCCGGGCTCTGCATGAGGACAGTTGTTGCAGGACCGTGGGACATTGGAACTAGATATGTGCAGCCCACGCCAGCACGTGAGGCTGCGTGCACCGTCTGTCGTGAGTGGAGCAGAGTCATGCAGATGGGGGTCGCAAGGGAAGGTAGCAGAACACCGTGGTCAAGGGTGGGCGCCAGCAGCAGTCTGGGAGGTATGGGCTGTCCCTGCAGCATCTTTGCACCCAACAGTGACCATTCTCAGCTGGCACTATGCCGAGTGCAGCTGTCCAGCATGCCCGTCAAGGCCAGCAGGAGGGACCTATGGGCACATCCCCCAGCTCTCAGTCCATGCTGGTCAGAGAGTGGAGCGGTGGGGGCAGTGGGTCTGCTGGCGGGGCAAGCTCATTGAGCTCACCGATGGTGGTGGCCAGCAGGGTGTCCTGCGACACCACAGCGTTGTCTGACTTGCTGGTGGGGTCTACAGTGCTGCTCTCCTGAACACCAGGCACAGCACCCTGGACTGCAGCCAGACTGTGGAAATGGCCATTCTCTGCAAAAGATAGCAGTTTATCCACGAGCTTGGGTGCTGCGTACTCTTCGTCCGGCTGCTCTGTCTTGTGGCTGTCGTCATTCTTGGGTGAGCCGTCTACGATGACAAGGAAAGACTTCCATGGAGTGTTCTTGTCATGGATCTGCAAACCAGACAGACAGAGGTCACTGGGTATCACTGAGCAAGGGTGTCCTGCAGAGCTACGTCCCTCTCCCGCTCCAGCCCTGCCCAGCTCCTGCTGCAGTGAGCCCTGCTTGCTACCCTCAGATGCCCACCACCCCACCCAGGCTGATAAGTGCCGCACAGGGCCATTTTCCGGGGCCTCAGGCTTCTGCCTCACTCCCTCAGGTGTTTCTACTGCAGAGAAGCCCCTGCTGTCCCTGCCAGCCACCATGCACGGGGTGCTTCTGTCTCTGGGGCAGCACAGGCCACCTGCTGCTTACTGAGGTGTGTCGCCGGAGCGTGGACTTGTCGGTGAATGTCCGCCCGCAGGCGTTGCACATGAATGGCCTCTCCCCTGTGTGGATGCGGCGGTGTCGCTGGAGGGCGTTGAGCTGGGTGAACTGCTTGCCGCACTGGTCACAGCAGTAGGGACGCTCCCCTGAGGCAGGAGAGAGGACACTGCTGGTGGGTTCCTCCAGCCTACTGGGTTTCATTCTGAATGCACTTGTCTAGAATTATTTAGAATTACGCTGCTGCAAACCGCTGGGGAGCCGCAGCAGCCCAACCCAGGGGGCTATGTCGGGGCCACTCCAGGGCTGTGACCTAGGGCCCTGTTGGACTGGGGGTCCGTGGCCAGAACCTGTCTGCCCAGGGGCTGTATCTACAGAAGTAATGCTGTTTTCCATGGTCCTGGAAGGCAACATTCCAAGTCCCTCAGCCCAAATCTGTGTGTGAACACAAAGGCATACATGTCATTATCCCTGTGCTCACACAGCCACAGCCACATCCCACCTTCATACCACAGGGGACGCTGCCTGTCCTCTTCATGTAAAACTCCAGGCAGCAGTGGGACTTGGTCCTGTCTCACGTACTCACATCAGTGCTCCCACTTTTCCGCTCCTCAGAGCCAGAAATGAAAGACTCAAAAATGAAAAATGCTATGATGGCATACATAGGCCTAAGCTTTCTCCTAATGCTTAATTCCTTATGAGCAAGTCTAAGAGTTCTGGAATATTTTCTTGCCCAGTTGCACTCCCTTCCCTGGGCATCCACCATACCTGTGTGGACCTTGATGTGCTGGTACAGCGAGTTCCGCTGTGCAAATGTCCGGAAGCAGACTTCACACTTGAAGGGCTTGGAGCCTGTGTGTATCCTATTATGGTGTTTCAGGTACTCCTTGGAGGCAAAGCTCTTGCCACACGTTTCACACATAAAAGGCCTTTCACCTGTGTCAGAGAGGGAGTCAGGCTAGCAACCACAAGCAAAGGACCAGGCCTAATGCCCCAGCCCACATGGACGCCTTCCGAGCACCCCAGTGTCAGCATGGGACCGTTCTAGTCCAACTATCTTAAGTCTGGGTGCAGAGGCTCATGCCTGTCATTCCAGCATTTTGGGAGGCTGAGGTGGGAGAAATGCTTGAGCCAAAGGGTTTGAGACCAACCTGAGCAGCATAGTGAGACCCTGTCTCTAGGGGAAAAAAATATAAAAAAGGCTAGGTGTGGTGGCTTACGCCTGTAATCCCAGCACTTCTGGAGGCGGGAGAGAGGATTGTCTGAACTCAGGGGTTTGAGACCAGCCTGGCCAACTTGGTGAGACTTCGTCTCTACAATAAATCAAAAAATTAGCCGGGCATGGTAGTGCATGCCTGTGGTTGTAGCTACTTGGAAGCCTGAGGCAAAAGGATCACCTGAGCCCAGCAGGTTGAGGCTGCAGTGGCCGTGAGTGTGCTACTGTACTCCAGCCTGGACTATAGAGTGAGACTCCGACTCAAAAAAACAAAAGAAAAAAAAAAAACTATCATAAAACACTTACTCAAGTGAGATGCTTGCTAGTACCCAAAGCTGGTGTACGACATCCTTGGCATCCCAAGGAAAGTTCCACTAGACTAGAACTAAACATTGTTCAGCCAGCTCACATTGTAGAAATCCACTCATTCCAAACAAGAAAATAAAATAATTTCACAGCTTTAGTTTGAAGAACTGCTGGATGACTTTCAAAGGATTATATTCAGGTCTTTATTAGGACAGACGCCTCCCAGGGTGAGGATGGTCACAATGAAAATGTGTGAGTTGCCACTGTACAGTAGGGACTCCAACTCAAGATTGCAGGACAAGAAGTTGTGAATGCCCTTTTACTTTTGTGTTTTAAATCCTTTAACACCACAAATCAAACTCAAACTATTAGGTGTGCCAATTTCACAGACATCAAAATAAGAACCTTAAGACATTGATATTCTCATCAAAGGACCAATGCTTACGTGGCCCTTCACTATAACCTGGCACTGTCACAACCCCAAGCTAGACACCAGTTCTCATTCTGCAGTCACGATTCACGTCACTGGCACCTCATCTCTATCTTGCCTGTATTTGACCTTAAGGTCCAGATTGCAGTGCTTAGAAGTAAAGGTGAAAAATGCAAGCAAGGGGGGCGCTGGTGGGGTTACAATGAGAACGCTCACCTCCTGTTTACAGTGAGGTTCTCAGCCTTGGACTGCTGTGCTGAACCAGGGCAAAGTCAACCTAAACTTCCCCCCTCATAGGATAAAATCATCTCACAAAGCAGAGATGAGATAATCTCACCTTAATGCATTACAGAACAATTTATTTTCTCCTGGTATTTTATGTGCAGGTTCTCAGCATGGTTGGGTTTAACTTTATGCTTAATTGTGCATTTTTAAATTCAACACCCAAGCACAGACAGTTCACAGGCTTTCCTCTGAATAGCTGGCCATGAGCCAGGGGCAGATTTACCTGAGTTTACAGAACCACTTCCTGTGGTTGGACAATCAGGTTGTGTCCAATTCTTTGTTAATAAAAATAGCAAAAGAAGGATAACAGTGTACTGCTTTTCCCATATTTCAGACAATTTCTTTAGCTCCTGGAAATGGCACTTTGGCTATAACAGTCAAAATGGCTTGAGGCCTGAGACCTGCATGCCAGGTCCTATCGCCCTGCAGTATGAGAGCCACAGTCACATGCATGTAGGCATGGGAGGTAACAGGCACATGTTTATTCATATTTTCTCGCCACATGGAAAAGCTGCACCATGGCTTGAACCTGTACCACCTCAGGGGATGCAGCTTCCAAGTTAACCAAGTGCCATTTCCTTCTACAGCAAGGAAAGACATTTGCCCACAACAACACAAGTGTGTATTTACCTGTGTGACACCGCTTGTGGTAAATCAGCATATGGTTCTGAGTGAATCTTGCACCACACTCATCACAGACAAAAGGCTTTTCCCCTGTATGAATTCTGAAATACAACATTCAGATGGTAACTCAGGATGTATTTCAAAGCTCACTTTGCAACACAGTTTCCACTCTACCTGCAAAGATCACATACTCCAAGAGACCGGTGAGAATGCAGTGATAGACCACAAGCCCGGACTCTCCATCCCAGGTAAACTGATTCTCTGCACGAGGCCATGGATGACACGTTTCCCATGAACCCCGGGCTACCCATCCACATCTGCTCCGACGCTCCTGCTGAGCTCCGGGGCACATGTGGGCAGAGGCCAGGCCTCCACAGACTTCTGAAAGCATGAAAGCACTGTATGGTGACTGTAAAGCTTCCTCATTCAGCATAATCAGCCACAAATACCCTAGGACCAATTGCTGACAGTGCCACGTGGCCAAACACTTCACTGTCACTGCCAAAGGTGACATCACCAGTCTAGAAAGGAGTCCAGTTCTGCAAGAAAGAGTAAGCACATGCGTTGTGTGTGAAGCAGCCATCAACCATGAGTTCAAGGACTTCCCAGAGCAAGGGTCTGTCACTCTTCTAGAAAGTAAAAGGTGACGGCAGCCATGCACATCCCCAACCCCAAGACCTGCCCAAGTTTGAGGACAGACCAAGAATGGAAAAGAAAACGTGACTGCTCCTTGAGACTTCAGGCACAAACAGTGAGAACTGTAAGGAGAGTTGCTTAAAAACTGAACACGGGCACCCACAGATTAATAAATAGAGGCAGCACCAGCCCTGACTCTGGAGTGTAGACTCACGGGCTGCATAGGTTCTGCCCTGAGAACTAAAAGCTAAGACCAGAGCTGTGTCCCAACACCCTGGACGGCATCCCATTGAGGTCCCTAATGAGCCTGTGGGGCCAGCTGGACCAAGTCCTAAATGAAAAGTCAGGAAGAGAGAGATGCGGGGAATGAGGCCAATGCTTCCTTCCTCCGGTATGGGGGGACCAGGGAGCATCACGGGCCACTCTGGGAGGGTGTGGGGAGCCTTGTGTGGCAGTGCTGTCAATGCCCTGTGCCATGTAGGGGACCCACTGCATGCAGGTCTCTGTGCTAGCAGACACAGTGGGAGGGTGTCCACTGGGCCTGTAGGAATACTCGGGTATGTGGGCAGGTGAGGTTACCTCACAGCTCCTTTCCCTTGAAGGAGAACTCAATGCTGTCTCAAAATGGTCCCCAAGGCCAGGTATGAGGACTCACTCCTATAATCCCAACACTGTGGGAGGCTGAGGCAGGAGGATGGCTTGAGCCCAGGAGTTTGAGAGCAGCCTAGGCAACACAGTGAAACCTCGTCTCAAAAAAAAAAAAAAAAAAAATTAGCCAAGTGTGATGGCAATGCACCTGTACTCTCAGATACTGGGGTGGGAGGATTGCTTGAGCCCAGGACTTCAAGACCAGACAGGGCAACATAGCGAGACCTCCTCTCTACAAAATATTTTTAAAAACTTAGCTGGGCGAGGTGGCATGCATTTATAGTACCAGCTACCTGGGAGGCTGAGACAGAATGCTCACCAGAGCCCAGGAGGGCAAGACTGTATAAGCCATGATCATGCCACTGCACTCCAGTCCAGGTGACAGAGTGAGACCCTGACTCAAAACAAAAAAGGCTCTCGATGCTGGGCAGAGACAGCGCCTCCTGCAGCATTCAGCAGGCCCCACCTCATGTGTGTCTTGAGCGCCGAGGGCTGCGAGAAGCGTGCTCCGCAGTCAGTGCAGCCATGCGGCCGATCACCCGTGTGCGTGCGCTCGTGTAGCCGCAGCGCTGTCTTGGAGCTCAGGCCCTTGCCGCACTGGCCACAGCGGTGGCGCTCGCCGCCGCCCTCGTGCACCTGCAGCACATGGCGCTTCACATCCTTCTTGCGTTTGAATTTCTTCCCGCACAGCTCACACGGGAAGTGGCGCTCGCTGCTGTGCACATGGCGCTGGTGGCTCTTGAGGTTGCAGCGGTTGGCGAAGGTCTGGCTGCACGTGTCGCAGCGGTACACCACATCGGTCGCTGCGCCGTGGTGCAGCCGGCTGTGCTTAAGGAAGCTCTTCTCATACAGGAATGCCTTGGTGCACACTGCGCACTTGAAGCTGCTCCGCCTCCGGCCCGCCTCATCAGCCTCCTCTTCCTTGTCCTCCTCTTCCTCCTCCTCCTCCTGGGGAACTGCCCTCTGCAGTATCACCTCCCCCTGGGCACCCAGCTGGCCCTCCGGGTTAGCAGCTTGCTCCACAGCACTGGCACCAACCAGGCTCTGGGCCTGGGGGCACCTGCAGGCCCCCTCGGCAGCCTCTGCACTCTTCTCCTGCTCTCGGAGCCTCCTCGTATACTTCTTCTTGGGGATCTCCACAAAGACCTTCCTTCCCGCCAGTCTCCCACTGGCCCTTCGGATTTTCGGGTAGGGAGGCTTGGCGGCCTCCTTCTTCTTGTCCAGCTTCTCCCTGGATTTCCTTGGGGGCACATCTGACAACGCGCCATCACTGGCCCTCTCCGTCAGGCAGTCCGAGGTGTCCCCAAGGCCGTTGGGGTGAGGGCCGTCCACAGCCCCACCTGTCCTGGGAGCCGGTGCCACGCTGACCAGAGAGCCGCCACTGGCTTCCACCTCCTGAGCCTCGGAGAAATTCTGCAGCTCCAAAAGTACCGACTCCAACATCTGTTTTTTCAGCTGGAAACAAGTTTCTGATAGGTCCAGACACTTGAGCTTTTCAGCCGTCTCTAGCATCCGCTGCACCCGGTCTTCCTCCACCTGTACCTTTGCGGTATAGACAAACTCCAGAAATGAAGCGAAGTCGACCACCTGCACCTCGTGGAGGCAGACATTTGTCCTGGCGCCGTCTGCGCTCTTCTCATTGAGGAACATCTCCTTAAAGAACTTGCTGGTGGCCGCCAGCACAGCCTTGTGCGCCACAAAGTCCTCACGCATGCCCTGGTACTCCACGCTGACCGTGACGTCACACAGGTGGCCCAGCAGGCGGAGTTCGTGCATCTCATGCAACAGGTGCAGTGGGGAAGACTTGGACTCCAGCAGGACTGCCCCGCTTTCCATCTTTCTTCTTTCTGAAACAGCCTTGAAAACAAAGACAAGAATTATCTCACACGTGAGCAACCACGACGCAGAAGGATCAGAAAGCATGGGGTGACTTCAGCCACTGAGGCTGTGAACTCACTAACAGCCTGGCCCTTTTCACTGAAGATTCAGGCCCTTTGCACAGGCTTCAGACATGCACTCCCCATGCTCTCCTGATTCTATTTGCATGAGAAGAGAGTATATTGCTGAGGCCTCCTCCAGTGACAATGGCTGAAGTCAGGATTAGTGAAATACATGAAGTAGTGATTTGCTTATCAGGGGCACCATCTAATATGCTATGAATACAGACCCAAAAGCTGTGATTGAATTCATGGCAAGTGTCATGCCTGACCAGCACACTAGATCATCAAAATGAAATGTGTGGCCACTACCACCTGGAAGCCAATCGGAAACCTTAGAGGGTCATGTTTGCCTTTGAAAAGAACCAACTAGGCCAGACTCAGTGGCTCAGCCTGTAATCCCAGCACTTTAGGAGTCCGAGGTGAATGGACTGCCTGAGCCTGTGGGTTCAAGACCAGCCCGGGCAACTTGGCGAGACCTCATCTCTACAATAAATAAAAAATTAGCTGCATGTGGCAGCACATGCCTGTAATTCTGGCTACTTGGAAGGCTGAGGCAGAAGGATCACCAGAGCCCAGCAGGTTGACGCTGGGGTGGCCGTGAACATGCCACCTGGGCGACAGAGACTCCAACTCAAAAAAAGAGAAAAGAACCAATTAAATAAGTAACTTCTTTCCATGAGGAAAATTTCCTGGAAAGGTAGTTCACAATTCGTTGCCATATCCAATACCCCTAAATACCTCCTAATTTTTTCTATTTCGACACGAGATCTTGCTATGCTGCCCAGGCTGGTCTTGTATTCCTGGGCTCAAGCAATCCTCCCAATGTGCTGGGATGACAGGTGTGAGCCACTGCATCTGGCCACATCTCATTACTGTTACTGTACTGACATAAGGCAAGTTCCATTTTACAAGTTGTGTTACTTTGAGCAAGTGACTTAATTTCTCTGAACCCACTTCCCCCCTGAAGACCAATGGCAGCTGTGAGGTTCCTATGAGTGCAGCTGCCAAGTGCTCACAGCTGAGCCTGAAGCCTCCTGGCTAGCTGTTACTGTTAGCTTCCCAGCACAGATGCAGGTGCTAATGGGGTCCCATTTCACAGATGAGGAGCTTACAGGTGTCAGCGGCTAGCTGGGACTTCCTGGGCTTCCTGGAACGCTCTGGATCCTCTCAAACTGTTCAACACACCCCTTCCTCAGTCACGCCACTCACCAGGAGCAATGTGACCCCTACATCTTCCCACTGCGGTGGACATGCAGACTTCCCATACCCACGGGCAGCCTTCTCTCCCTGGCCTCCATCACACTCTCAACTTCATGTCCCAGGCTCCCTGGGGCTCTCACCTCTAGACAGATTCCCCGACTCTGCTTTCAAGATTAATCCCGCCCTTCTGCACCCGATCCTACTCCCTCTTCCAAGGTTGCTTTGATTCCTAAGTCTCCACCGTCCAAAGCACCCCCGTCCCGCTGACCTCCTCAGGCCGACCTCGATGACACCTCGGATCCAACACATCCGAGCAAAACCCATCATCTTCCCTGAGAAGCCAGGCCCACCAGCGATGCCGCTCCCCACAACCACCGGTCCCCAAACAGGGAAAACACTGCCCCACGAGCGTTCAATTGTGAGTGAAACCCAGACCTAGGAAGCTCGAACAATGTCACCTGAAGGAGAGACCTCCACAGCACACTGCGAGGACACTGACAAACGCCAAGTCAAGCAGATGCAGGAGGGGGGTGACTGTGACTCCAGCCTGGGGAGAAAAGGCTGCACTCTGCCCGCGAGGCCCGCGAGGGGACGTGGCTTACTACAGGCAGCCTGGCGCGACTTCTCCATCACCAAAGCGGGTCCTGGGCACGGTTTCCTATTTTACTCGCTGCCGGGAGAGCAGGCACCGGCGGCGGCGTCAGGGCCCTCGGCGGCCGGTGACAGCGGTTGCCCCTCTGCCGCTCACCGGCACTCCGGCCGCCTCTCGCGGCGTCGAGGCCGGGGTCAGGGGCCAGGCCCTCCCAGTCGAG